CCATTTTCACCGAGACCATAAATTTATCTTTAAAAAATACTACCATAGACAAGATAAATGAATAGACCAACCATCTTATGGGATATTACGTGTCTCTTGTTCTCAAATACCAACATACTTAAAAACCGCTGAATGTTTAGCGCACTCTACGCTTAAATAACTAGATCAAATAAAACGATCGAAGTTGATTAGGTAGCGAATACTTCAAAAATATAATTTTTGAAATTCATTATAATATTGTAAATTTTCAATACCGAGGTAACTAACCGAAATCATTCTACTATATATCAGCGTTATATATCCATGTTTTTAAATTAAAATTCTAAAGTTTTGTGTGAATTTAAATTAAAATTCTACTCTCTGCAAGTTAATGTATCTGAAACAAACTTATATATTGGATTAGTACTACAATTTAAATAAAAAGACAAAATAAAAAGATCTGTAATAAAGACATATTATACACACACAAAAAAATCAGGTTACTCTCAAGATCAATTATATTTTATTAACTAATAAACTAGGATTGACACATACGAAATTTGAATATTTATAAAATTCTATTTTATTGTTGAAACATTTAGAATAGAGAAAATAAGGAAAAATGATAAGAAAATAACCCTGATAACGAACAATCACGATTTTTGACTCCAATAACAATAAATTGGATATTAAGTCATATTTTAAACTAAACTAATGTGTAAATGTATCAAATTTATAATAAAATTTAACAAAGTTATAGTTTAAAAAAAATGTATACTTTTTAGCAGTATTTTCAATAATAAACGCAATGGCAAGAGGTGCTGAAAAAGAAAACCTAACATAGTAACCAGAAGGGCTACTGACAAAGAAAATCTAAATTAATAGCCCGAAAGGCTACTAAAAAAACATTTCCTACTTAATACAATAACCAGAAGAGTTATTATGAAATCTACATTCGATATGAATCCGAATAGCAAACCGCATCTTGTTTCGCAACACTAACTTACTGCTACTTAGTACTACTACTTATTAAATGGGAAATTTTCAAAATCAAACGCGAAGAGTGCTTTGTCATATTTAAAACTCCCGAAAATAACTGCCGACGCAACACTATTAATCTATGCACTCGTCTTCAGAAATACACAATACTAATTGCGACGCGTTCAGTGCAACCATGCTACAGGTTGCTGATGAATGACTACGTCTGTACAGCTGTTATAACTGTATCAGGTGATCCAGGAGCAGACTTCCACGAATCTAGTGGAAGAGTTTGGGCATTTTGTAAACGCAACGCTACTTTAAAAAACGCGATCATTCATTATCGCAACACTAACAAGAGAAAAAAATAATTGAAAATCGCGATAAAATAATGTCGCAACACTAACTCTAAAACCAAATTGAATGAAAACTATTATTAATAATACAAAATAATACTATATAAACAAA